TGGGGCATCATAATATACTGAATTACAAATTCCTTTGCCTAAATGCATTTTTTTATTGTAGCAATAGCTAATAAACATTGGGAACTACATCTCCCATGATTCTTTTCAGCGAAGACAGCAAAGTTATACATTTTTTACTTGAATTCTTGGGATTATGACATTAATATTTACCACCAAAATCTTGTCAAGGTATTTTAAAAGCAAAAAAGCATCCTATGTACAATTATATGAGCCTCTCCAAAATATCGCAATAAATATCGTACCGTGAGATGCAAATCGTGATAATATCGTACTGAGAGATTTGGATATTGTTACATCCCTAATAGGCAGTCAATTTTTTTTTTACCTGATTTTTAATCTTTTGCTTTATTTTAACATTTTCATTCATTTTCATTCTCATTGTGGTTTATTTTGTATGATCATAAACGCTAAACATTTGTGCCATCGTTAACATTATTATTAGTTTGTGCGACCATAATGCAGTACAGTTTAGTATGCATAGTATGTCATTTGTTTTGCTAGATGTAAATATTTGTAAAGTTTCATTATCAATGTACAGCAACCACATCATTTTTGAATTGATTGATGTGATTATCGTTTCCCTCTTGGCACAAACTCGAAATAAAAAACAAATCATTGTACACATATACGTTAATTGCCATTGCCAGATTCCATTTCCTGCTTGTGAATGACTCAACACGTAGATCTAAACTTGAGACTCTTCAGATGCATGCCACAATCCTGCAGAACCCAAAATATAAATAAATGAAAGCTCCGTGTGCATCGTGCCTCCCTCAGGACCTGTCTTTGAAGTGCACGAGCTGTCTGCTTTACTCTGATGTGTCAAACCAAAAACTTCTCTGTATCCGTGCTAATTATTTTGTTATTCCTCTGTCTGCATAATTACATTTTTAAACTTTGTAGCTGATGTCATTTACATTTTCTGAGGGTGTGATGTTAACTGTAGGAACTGCTGTGTCTGAGGCTTTACAAGACGTTAATCTGAGCTTTATTTTAACACAATCTGACTATTAAGAACTTTCTTAGTTTGAACTACGACAGTCACAAGATAACTACAACAGTTTTTCTATGAACCACAGTCCCCATTTTTGTTAAAAATCAAACAACTAAACAGGACAATAGGCAATCTTAAAATGTTTTTGACCCTTTTTGAGCCTGATGTTAGCCTGATTCAGTGTTAGGATTCATTTGCTTGATGGTAGGCAGGTACTTTTTTCATTTAACCAATCTCTGCTATTAGGAAGAAGGGCAATAACATCTTTCCCCTTGATAAAATTCACCAAACATTCTCTTTATTCCAGCTTTAAATCCTCGATCTTGGGAATCACTGCCAACACAGAATGTATGGCTCTTCGCTGACTGGGTGGTGCCCGAAGTCGCACTTCCGGGGTTTTTGCAAACTGTCTGGTGTATTCTGATTCCTGACCTAGTCGCTGGAGATTGATTGATTGATTGCATTTATATAACGCCTTTCAAGATACCCAAAGCGCTTTACAATTCATTATTCATTCACTCCACACTCAGAGAGAAATGAAATTGAGCGGAGGCACTAGTCGGCACCAGCCTGGCTAGCCTGATGTCACTGCTAAGTATCAATTATCGTGACTACAAATTTAAACAAAAGATTCCTATCAGGATTATCAGATGAAATGACACTGATACTGGTAAACACATTTAAAACCAGTATTTATATACAGTCACAAGTTAAGCATTTATAGGAAGAACAGGCATGTTGTCAGGTTTAAGGGCAGAACCTATATCCCTATAGGGTCTATTTACGCTTACGTCACAAACCAATAAGATGTTTGGAAAGATGCGATTACAACTTCCAGTGTAGTTACCGACAATGAACCCCAAACCCACTGAAGTAAATGTGATCAGCGGCAAAATGAAGACTGCATAATCGCATGTACCCAGTGCACTCAGAGTTGTGTGTCATTGGGGAAATAATGAAAAAAAAAAATTTGGTATGGTTGTAATTGTTGATTAGCCAAACATAACAGAACACTACAATGACATGGAGATGAAGAAAAGTGTGTCATTTTCTCATTTTTCCTACAACAGAGCCCGTCGGAAGTTGTCATCGCATCTTTCCAAACATCTTCCTGGTTTGTGACGTAAGCATGAATAGAGCATATTACTCTGAACACAATTGAAGGAATTCTTTTCTCAATTACACATTTCCCATGTGAGGAACAATAGCTGTAATCACGATTTTTTTTAAATGTACACAGCACAGCCCTAGTGTAGATTAATCAGACAACAAAAGTGCACAGAAATAACGTGCAGAACATCAGATTATACATTATTTTAAATCCCTGTTTGGTTTTCAGAACAAAAACATTGGTATTGGGGGAAGATGCATTTTTGAAAGAGAATGTGAGATCGAGCAGCTCGTCCACAGGTGCCACAGTCCCACAGTACAAAGAGGAAACACTGTGACCTCGGACCTGTGAAGTTCAAAAAGACGGGCCGCTGCTACTGGGAACACAGGCTGATAAAGGAAGAGGGGGAGAGGGGGAGAATGAGAGAGAGAGAGAGAGAGAGAGAGAGAGAAAATGAGAAAGAAATGGTGGGAGAAGAGAGAAGAGAAGGAGGAATATAGATTGAAGAGAAAGGGAGACAGGGATGGGAGATTGAGAGAGAAAGAAAAAGAGGATGAAGCAAGATGGAGAGAGAGAGAGAGATGAGAGCGATAGAGAGGAACGGAGAGATACTGGAGAAAGAGGAGGGAAAGGGAGAGAGATGGCAGAAGAAAAAGGGAGAGAGAGAAGCGGTGCAAAGAGAGAGATAAGGGGAGGAAGAGGAGGAAGAGGAGAGGAGGGAGACAGCTGTGCCTCTGTAGATTACAACAGCTCAAAAGCTGCCCTCTCTCTCCCAGTTCGGCTTTGAACTATGTTTTCAGCGTGCTGCATTCAGGGACACAGTAAAAAAGACGGGACAATTTAAATCACATTCGGACACAGACACAGGGCTGTACTTTTAATGCTTTTACAAATACGACTGAATCTATAGGAGTCATTGTGTAGAATTTACAATGCATGTGTATTCAACAGTTTGTAATAACAACTGTTCAAATGGTGTTAAAGAGGAAATTAGATAAAGTGCACTTTCGCTCCAGAGCTCAAAACACTTCCAAGGATGAATACTGAAGGAATATAGGAGCACGAAAAGTAAAGGCATTTCATGAGCCAGGCGTAAATCTGTGCATCAATAAATACAAGAAAATAATATGAAAGCTTGTGAAAAATTATCTTAAAATTTATCTAGGTCTTTTCATGTATATAATAGTACTTACTAGGTATTAGGGATGTAACAGTAACCAAAATATCGTGATATCATATTGTCAAAGTTCTCACAATAATATCGTGGAATATCACAATATATGGAATTACAAGTCTCTTTGCTTAAATTAAGAGTAATGGTGCGGCAATAGCTAAAAAAAAAAAAAAAAAAGACAGAGTGAACTACATAGACCATGATCATTTGCTCTATTTCAATGTAGACTACAGGAAGAAATAACAGTTCTAAGCACTTTGAAGTCTTAGTTCTTTGGATTAAGTCTTGTCAAGGCCTTTTTAGAGGAAAAAGTAACATATTAACAGTTTTGTTAGTCTCCACAAAATATCACAATAAATATCGTACCGCGAGATGTATATCGTGAGCTTTCCCATGATATCACAATAAATATCGTACAATGAGATGAATACCGTGACAATATCGTATCGTGAGACTTGGATATCGTTACACCCCTACTAGGTATGTAACGATATCCAAATCTCTCGGTAAGATATTATCACGATATGCATCTCATGGTACCATATTTATTGAGATATTTTGAAAAGGCAAATATAATTACAGATGAGACTCTTTTTATTTTATTACCACTATCATCCCGAGAATTCAAGTAAAAAACATATTTCTTCATGTTGTTTGCACTGAAATGAATCATGGGATACGTAGTTTCTGATGTTCCTAAGCTGTTGCTACTATAAAACAATGCATTTAAGCAAAGGAACTTGTAATTCGATATATTGTGACAACCCACGGTATTATTGTGAGACTTCTGACCCAATATCACGATATTTCGGTTATTGTTACATCCCTAATATTTACATTAGTTTAATACAGCTTGCAAATAGCTAGGTTCTATATTCACTAATACATGGGTATATTTAGACTGCAGGTATTGCTATAATGGAAATAATTGCTGTTCTAGTAACTTCCTTGCATGGGTCTTTTCAACTTGAACACAAATCTACACTTCACACAGATCATGTCTTATTGATTCTTGCATGTACCCTGTGCTCCATAGGGAAGCCAACACTGGCCGTTTGCTCATTTTATCTGTGTTAGAGTTTAAAAAGCAGCCAAGACAATGTGTACCAGTCTCTATAGTTGCATCAAGTGATTAAGGCACAGCTAAAGATCATCCATGGGTTTGTTCTTTTCCTACTCAAAACAAGAAAGTTATTTGAGTTTGTTCTGCTATAAGACTAAAGTGGCACAAGACAAGACAAGGTTCTGACATAACTTATAATAGACATTTTGCTATCCAGTTTACTATTTTGGCCTGACATTTTTAATTTATTTGAATATTTTTGTCATTGTAGCTCTCAACTGGACAACAAGAGGTGCAATTCAGTGATGTTAACCCTTTTTTGTCTAATCCAAATGAAAACACATGGAAAAAATCTCACAAGATCTTGTTTTCTCATGTGTGTACAATTTTATCCCACCAACTTTATTTATAAAGCATGTATAAAGTCACAATACAACATAGAAAATGATAAGACACAAGCTACTCAAGTTAACTGGTAAGAAATCTACATCTCACTTGTTAAAAAGAGTGTTTGATTTAAATACAGTTAGAGACTACGTTTGTCTGTCCTTGAATGGCAACTGCTATCTTGTGACACTACGATTTACCATTTTGTGAAAAGCAGTAGTAAAAGATGAGTTTTAAAAGGTAGACTTACTCCATCATAGAGGCAGGTATGGAGCAGCAGTCCTGGATGGCGGTGAGGGGGGAGGTGAGGTGAGCTGTGTACGAAGCCTCCACCACCTGCTTGTTCCGGTTCACCACATCTAGGTAACGGTTGAACTTCTCACGGATCTTCTTGGCCAACTGCACAGAAGAGGACACATGTTAGAAAGAGAATAGACTGAGATTTATTAAGATATAGAATAGGAGATAATTGAGGAGTTACTTGAGCTTACAAATTCCATATTTTTTGGACTATAAGGCACACTTAAAATTCCTTTAATTTTCTCAAAAATCTACAGTGCGCCTTATAATCCAGGGCACCTTATGTATTAATTTTGGTTATGCTTTCTGACCTCAGACCGATTTTATGTGGTATACAGCGCTCAAAAATCTGTCAAGATGTTTTAGTATAACTTTGGTAAACTATGAAGCTGCACCGCTTGATGGATTGTCGAAGCATTACGGCTACTGTAGTCAGGAGCCCCTCGGAGTTAGTCGGACAAGACCACATCAGTGCACAAGGAGCTTATAGTTAATGCAAATATGTCATTTGGTTTAAGTTTTGTTTCTGTAAAACGTAAACAAATGTGCGCAAAGCTGCATTAAACACATTCATGTTCACATTCATAAAACACATTCACCAAGACAGTGAGGCAACGCAAATTACGCCACAATCTGCCAATGGACCGTGGACGCCTGGGCTTAAGTGTCAGTCTCAAGTGTCATCCATTTGTTTCGCTTAATGCACCTTATAATCCGATGCGCCTTGGGTATGAAAATAGACGAGAGATTGATATTGCGCCTTATAATCCGGTGCATTTTATAGTCTGAAAAATACAGTACTTTTTTATGTATTTGAACAATATTGCAGAAATTAATTACGAAAATACAATGTTTTTGCTGATACAGGTCTGATTGGTTAGCCTGATATTGTAGATTGGCAGAAGTATTGTTATAGCTTCCATTTTAGGGACTTTCGAGCGTTCAAAAGATACAATACTGTGTTATGAACTTTCAAAAATGGCATCCGTGCACATTTCTCATTACACGGAAATGCATGAATGGCTAGTTAGATAATATGGGACATGAGATTGGGTCCACAAGAACAAAAAGACGAGATTTTGACATTTGTAATGAATAAATTGTGCATTTCACTTCAAAATTTTGGCAACTTTTAAAAAGTATTTACCTTAATTCATATCATATATCAATATAGGTCTGCGTTTTGCATCAGTTTATCAAGGCTAAACTAATGCTTAACCCCAATCCAAATGAACACATGGGGGAAGTCAATTTTCCTTATGTGTGCACAATCTTTAGTTTCACCAGATCTTCCCACCCCTAATAACCCAGCCTGCATATAAAACAATGTGTTCTGGTTTAGAGGCAAGTTAGCCATACCATGCAATAGCAGCGGTTTGCAATCAAGTTTTAAAATCACCCAAAGTATAATTGTGTAATACTTGGAATTTTGGTTTCTTATAAAGTGAAAGAAAAGAACCATTCGAGGCCAGTGGGAATTTCAATAAAGGTCTGTGCGGTAACTAGACCCACTTTGTTCATGCCCCGTAATTACCAGTTTGTACAAAAGGCCTTTGATTCAAACCAGAAACAAGGAAATGCACCGGGACCCGCTGACCGCTGCTGTAATCATCAGACCAGTGTTCTTATTAGGACTTTAACAAGGGCCTAAGGCTGAACCACAACACACCAGAGTCCCCTCGTAGCACTGCCACAATTAGACAGTGTGGGTCTGGTATTAAAAAGGTGAAGTGAAATAGTTCTGTGTTGAGCTCATGAGGAGAGGGGTGCCACAGCGACTTAAAGGAAACGAGACGCTAAAGGATCTGAAAGTTTAGGGCTAAGGTTTCGGCTGTAACTGTGCGGCTAATGCCAACTACTCCGACCTCTGCTGAGTCCATTAGGCATGCCACGTCCAATTACAATCTCTGGCAAAGTAGCGGTACATTACAGAAAAACAATCACAGGCTATATGCATTCGATTGGCTTAAAAGGTGCACTATGTATTTTCACAGTAAGAGAGTTCGCTGCATGCTTTTCTCCATGGAAATGCCATTGCTTTACCTGAACAGTTCGTCTCCATGGAAATAGCTTAAGGTTAAAATGCTATAATGTGGACAGAAAGATGCCACCAGAAAAGTTACATAGTTCGCCTTTACTTGGATTTGTAAGCTTGCAAAATACACTTCTACTTATGAATCAACAAAAAAACAAATTACAATAAAAAGGTGACTTGCCATAGTGATACTGAAGGAACATTAACAATCCGTATATCATTCGTTAATTAATTTTTTAATATAAAAAAAAAAAAAAAAAAAAAAAAACTATTTTCTTCAAACCAAAAAACTTCAAAACCAAAATGAAAAAAAAAAACGGATAACGGTAGTGTCCCGTTTCTGTGACATAAATTGCGATGCCGGACTGAACCAGGACTGAGACCAGGAGCATACTGGGACCAGGACCGAGACCGGGACTGAGACTGAGACTGGGAACTGGTTCCGTTCTGGTTTAGACCTGATTTAGTCCTGGTTCAGTTCTGATTTAGACCTGATTTAGTTCGGTTTTAGTCCGGGGATTAGTCCTGGGATCAGTCCTGGTTCCAGTCCTGTTTCCAGTCCTGGTTAGGTCCTGGTTAGGTCCCGGTCTCAGTCCCGGTCTCAGTCCCGGTCTCGGTCCCGGTCTCGGTCCCGGTCTCGGTCCCGGTCTCGGTCCCGGTCTCGGTCCCGGTCTCAGTCCAAGTCTCAGTCCAAGTCTCAGTCCAAGTCTCAGTCCAAGTCTCAGTCCAAGTCTCAGTCCCGATCACCCGATAGTCTAACGTCTGGGCCCATCCCGATACTCAGTCCTGTTTTAGTCCTGTTTTAGTCCTGTTTTAGTCCTGGTTCAGTCCTGGTTCAGTCCTGGTTCAGTCCTGGTTCAGTCCTGGTTCAGTCCTGGTTCAGTCTGGCATTGTAGTTTAAGTCCGGAAATGTGAAACAGACGTTTTTTCCATTTCATTTAAACACAAAATCGAAAACTGAAAAAAAACGAATTATTATGCACTTTTATATTTTGGTTTTGGAGAAAATTGTTGTTTTTTCGTTTTCTTATTTTGGTTTCATTTTGAAAAACTAATGAACAAATGGTACACGGATTATCAACCTTCACTTTTGGTTTAAATGTACAGAGAATTTAACCGTGTACTAAATGACTCTAGTAAGACTGACAGCCACATACACATTTTGCATCTTCCTCTGGTTCATTAATAGCATAACATGTGTCATAATTCATTGGTCATGTTTAACCCTGCATGACAGATACTTTAGTATTCACAAACATCTAAGGTCAGACCCACAGACCCACAGATCCACATCATTAGACACAGAGACAGATGTGTAGTGGTCTGAATAATGAACCCACAGAGGACGACTCATCTGCACCAGCTCTTTGTGTCCACTACTGCAGCTCCTCTCCTCCTCTCCTCCTCCCCAGCTCCCCCTCTCCTCCTCCCCAGTAGCCCCTCTCCTAATGGGGCTTTGGCTCAGAGACCAGGCCCTCTGCCCACAGAGAAGTCAAACTGTTCCAGGACTGTCATTTTAATTAATTTATAGACTGCTGAGACCAAAATCTGTGGTCACTATGTCACAAGAATTACAGTATCGACATACATATGATTGATTTTTGTGGGTACCATTTTGTGCTGTATAGGGTAGTACATTGTAGTATCTAATGGAATATGAGATAATTATAGATACTAGAACTAACTACTTATTTTGCTTTCCGTGTATTTCAGCAAACATTGTTTTAACCCAACACAGATCTTGTATAAGCCTTTCTTGAAATCAAGTTCTCTGAATGCTGTCTGCATCTAATTTTTCAATAATCAGCAATTATCGTGATGGCACAATTCCGCTCTGGTCTCTGAGAGTTATGAGGAGTCTTTGTAACTATTTAGAATGAGCTAGTTCAGTTTTAAGGACCGTAAAAATCAGGTAACAGCACCCTTAGAGTTTAATTGTGGTCACAGCGACTTGTCAAAGCCTGATCTCATCAGATCTTAGAGGCTAAACAGGGCTGGGCCTGGTTAGAACTTGGATGGGAGACCACTGGGAAAATGAGGTGCCACAGTGGGCGCCAGTCACAAAAACTGTTGTTGTGTCCTTAGACAAGGCACTTCACCTACATTGCCTAGTATGAAAGTGGTGTGTGCGTGAGTGATGGTGGTGGTTGGAGGGGCCATTGGCGCAGATTGGCAGCCTCACTTCTGTCAGTCTGCCCCAGGGCAGCTGTGGCTAAAATAGTATCTTACCACAACAGAGAGCAGAGTGAATGAATAATGCTAATGCTACGTAAAGCATCTCTGAGTGTCAAAAGCTCTACATAAAACATGCATTATTATTATTACATTATATATTACAATATGAGTCACTGAGATGATCTTGTTTAGGGTTATTGTGTCAGTGGTATAAAGTAGTTTCAATATTTTCATTTATACTCTTTTTTACCTATTTTTTGGTAGCATGTGCAATAATGGACACTTTACAAGATAGGGTAAATAACCAATAAAAAATAAAAAAAAGGAAGCTTGAATGGCCCTTAAAATGTACAGTGTGTCTCTGCCACATACACTCGCACACACACACACACACACACGCGCGCATTCACGCACGCACTCTCACTCACACACACAGATGGATACAGAGACAGGATCAGAGTCTCACAGGAAACACAAACAAACACAAACTTGTCTGTTGTCGCTGGTGGCTGTTTACCATTCTGCGGTTTATTGTCACTCTTCCAAGATCTTGACGCTTGAGTGAGAAACAGGCAAGCTCACACACACACACACACAGATAGAGAGAGACACACACACACGCACGCACACACATACACACACACAGATTACAGCGCACAGGGGCCTTTGATATTTGGAGTTATTTGTCACTGTTATCTGTGGAAGAAATGCCAAACACAAAGCACAAAGGTCTTTAGAAACGTCAGATTATTTTGTGGAAAAATATTAGCACGGTTTTAAAAATAATCTTGCAACAGGATAATTAATGTGAAAAGATCTTATACTCCACCTGTACCCCAGTGGTTGACCATTTAAAATTCTGTAGAAAATGGGTAGCTTCAGCCTTTGTGATCCGGCAACCATCTGCTGGTGCACGGAGGAGTAAATCAGGCCAAAATCAATAGTTGCTAGCTTCAAAGCATCTTTGTGTAAGCAATGTGAGTACTGATTTTTGTCTAGTGTAAGGATTTAAAAAACATTGGAGTTATTCCTGTTCTATTTCTCACAATGAGCAGGATTATTAAACATGTGTAAATGAAAGCAACAACACTCCACGTAACAGCTATAACAATTATTTTATTATTCATTTATTGCTATTTTATGGGTCTGCTTTTATCAGTCTTTACTTGTTTTGAGCAGCACTTTGGAAACTGGTTTGTTTATAAAGTGGATTTGGATTTAACATGCAAAACTTAAACAGTCTTACATTATAATAGTCTTCATGTTGGGTATTTAAAGGCCCACCGTGAAACTTTCTGATGGTTGGTCTACTACCACCAGCTTGCAGATGTTGCTTTGTCTGCAATGTTCCACCGTTGCTTAGCAATAACATCTCCACACAGACACACAGATAACACACCCCTCGCTAGAAAAAGCAAAACACAATTGACTTTGACGCCTTGAACCGATAGTTTTCTGTCACCAAAATGCTGAATTATTAGCTCCTATTCCAGGCACATACTGGTGAATTTCCAAAAAGAACTGGCCCTCACATCTTATTCTGCCGACAGCTTTCATTGTGAGAGGGAGAGAGAGAGGAGACACAGACACGAGCTTCAAAGCCAATGAGACGGCAGCTGTAGAATTTTAATAATCCCACTTTTCCCTCTGATGGTTCTTACGCAGTGCATGTGTGAATTTGTCTTGGCTAAAAAGTGCACTAAACAACAACACAAGCTCTGAGCCCGTCTTTGGCTCGCAGCCACAGTAACAGACTGACAGAGGGGGGCGCTTTTTGAACTCACCTGCTGCACCTCTGTCTCCCCGTTTGAGGTCTTCTCCGTGTACACGAAAGAGTTGAATATCCGCTGCAAAAAAAAGAGATAATAATGTTAGTACACGCAGGAAAGAATAAAATATAAAGCATAAGGTTGTAGGTCTTTCGTCAATGGTGTCTTAATCCGCCAAAATTTGTATTATTGACTAATTATTTTATTTAGAGTTTAAGGATTTTTGACAACAGTAGATAGGGGAATATATGGTGTGGGTTAACTCATGGGCTTTTGATTAATCTACCTTTTTTACATGTAAATACACTGTTTCCTAATATATTTCTGTTTAAATACAGTAGTTGATTCCGCATGAACTCCAGTCCAGGTGTATTCTTGTGAGAGCAGTTTGGATTAGATACATGGTCAAACAATAGTATTGCTTTTGCCACACCCCTTTTTAGTCAGCTAATCTCTCAACATACAATTTATTTAGTTAACTACAGCCCAAATAAAGTTTAAAGATTAGTTTAGGGATTAAAACCAAAAGACACCAAAATAAAAATCTTAGGAACACGAATAAACGCAAGAGCTGAGAACAAATGTCTTCATGGTGCATTACAACTGTTCTGGTGGAGTTTCTGTCACCTTCTTGTCTCCATGGAGATGTTAATGCTTGCCTGGAATATTTCACAGTACAGCATTGAACTTATAAACCTCCACTCTAACTATAAAGCATGTTTATTTTAATCAAAATGGTATTCAGATATTACAGTGTTATAGAAGCAGTTCAAGAAAAATCTCTCCATTGTGCATTGTAACTGTTCTTGATGGAGTGTCTGCCACCTTCTTGTCTCCATGGAGATGTTAATGCTTGCCTGGAATATTTCACAGTATAGCATTGAGCTCCTATACCTCCATGGAGAAATAAGGAGTGTTTATTTTAGCAAAAAAGTACGGTATTGAGATATGTGAAACCGTGAAACAGGCAGTTCACACACATTACCAAATCACTGCACATTTTCTGTATATGCAACTGTCATCATATACTGAAAGTGGGGCTGCACAATATATTACAACTGAAACAAAGCAATTATCAAAGCTCAAAGGCTGCAATTATTTACATATTAGAAAGCCTTCTGCAAACAAGATCTCACGTTTGTTATGGAAAAACTCTCTGTAGTTTACACCTCCATAAACATCTTCTGAAATGCATGTGATTCTTGTATTAGTTTTGCATATTTCAGTCAGATGTTAATACTCCTGGTAATGTTTAAAATGTCCACTGTGAACCCGAAGCCTGATTAGAAAACATAAATCGCAATGCTAATACTCAACAGAAAGACTGCTATATATTTCTTTAATCGTGCGGCCTTAAATGAACTGAATTTCTGTCCGGGTTTCATAGGACTATATTGTAATGCCTTCTAAAGAAATGCCAAGCCGCATGATTAACCCAATTATAAGGAAAACCACTGACCATTTACTACACTACACTGCACAGGGGACTATGAATCACCAGGCCAATGTGAGGGTCATCCATGGTTTCCCACACTATTGCCAACTTAGACCTCTGTAATAGTCTGCCAAATTTCACTGTGCCCATTTCAGCCTATAACTTTTTCAAAGGGCTCATGTTTGCATTTGCACTTTTTGAATTTTCTGATCTGTGTTATAATGTTGTTTCCTCATCAAAACATAACTGTAGTTGTGTTTTTTCATTCACACATATTTAACACACAAATCCTGCATATTTAGGCATCCACCTGGTTTGAAAATCCCAGCTCGAGACTAACATTCTCCCCTTCCTCCCTCCAGGCGCCCCCTTCACTTGGGCGACACACAGGTAACCGCTGTGCCCAGGAGAGGGGTGACGTTCTCAGAATAAAATGAAATGTGAATGTTTTGAGACAAAACATACAGCTTAAACATAAACAAACTTTTCTCTTTATTGTTCGAGGAAGCAGCACAGTTACAACTGCAGGTGGAGTTGGTTAAGCAGAAGAAGTTACACACACAGTCTGATTATTATATTTTATTATATATATATATATATATATATATATATATTATGGTATATAGATTAACTAATTTAACTCATAAAGGGTACAATTCAGGAGGATCTTGGAGGCCAGGGGGACTTTCCAGCTGATTTCCGTTCAACCTTGTGATGTCATGCAGTAATACACCTTAAATATAATCATTTGGATCATTTAAACCATAGGTGGGCAATTTTTTTCCATGGGGCCACATGAGAACCATGAAAATATTGTGGAGGGTCGAAGGTTAACTGCATAACTCAGTTGCCTAATATTTACTGTATTTCTTTATTTTTAAAAAAGCTGTAAATGGTATATTGTTTTGACAAGCTGGTCAGACTGGTAGGAGTTTATGTTATGACTAAGCAATGAAAAAGTGAGGCTACCTTATGTCACCTTATGGAAAATGTCATCAAAAAAAAAAAAAAAAACACCTCTAAAATAAAAGCAATACAGCGTTAGTCCATGCATGAGGTAAAATGATACAATATGTTTAATTTGTAATTCCAAATTATCTTAGACATGTCGGTCAGAGTCAACCAAAGAGCCGTATATGGCTCTGGAGCTGTATAATGTCCAGCTCTGCTTAGTATAAATTGGCAGTTCCAGGTTTAAATCAAAGTTAAAATGAGTTGGTAACTTGAAAACTACAGCTTCATGACATCACAAGGTGTAACAGAACATTTTGAGGTTTGGAGATGTAGACAGGCTAATAATGAAGGATTACTCTAACATGTGTGAATGAAGCAAAACACAACTCCAAGTATGTTTTTGATGAGGTAAGAGCATTTTAACATGGCTTAAAGCTCACAAGAGTCCACTTAGCGTAATATAGAACCATTAAAACTCCCAAATCGACATTGCTCAGTAAAAGAAAACACAGCTTTGCATCAGAGCATGGAGAAAGTGAGTCCTAGAATGACCTCAACCCAGACACACAAGCCTCCTGGGCCCAATGGGATAAATATTCCCCTGCACACGTCAAACACTGCGCCGCTATGTGTCCCCTGTAAACATGCTAAAGCTAATGTTTGTGTAGAGGCAGCAGGTAGGCAGGTGTCGCGTCAAAAGCTGCCCCACTGCGCACAAAGCCCTTAATTGCCCGGTTCCACACGGCAGACATTTCCTGCTACCTGTCTGCACCTTTTGTTAGACGCATTCCAGAAGACGGCAATTACCCACAATGCACTGCCCACTACAAACTTTTATGTAACTATGCCTTGGTCTGCCACTGCCCGCTGGAAATGGTTTATGAAAGGAGATTTGTCAACCAAGTATATTAGGGGTGAACGATTTTGGAAAAAATATCCAAGTATTGAGATTAGACTTGTGATGTATGTTTTAATAATTCTGTTTCAGATTTAAAAAGCACTAAAAAAAAAAATAAATTAAAATTGACAAAAATATTATAATATTACCTGAAACGAATGCAAGAATCACATTTCAAAACATGAGTTGTTGTACAGTTGTAGGGAGTATTATCTGTTACATAAGGGTGAGTTGCTGTACAGTTGTAGGGAGTATATTTATTACATAAGGGTGAACTGTTGTACAGTTGTAGGGAGTATTATCTATTACATAAGGGTGAGTTATTGTACAGTTATAGGGAGTATTATCTGTTACATAAGGCTGAGTTGTACAGTTTTAGGGAGTATATTTATTACATAAGGGTGAATTGTTGTACAATTGTAGGGAGTATTATCTGCTACATAAGGCTGAGTAGCTGTACACTTGTAGGGAGTATTATCTGCTACATAAGGGTGAGTTGTACAGTTGTAGGGAGTATTATCTGAAGAAGACCACAAAATTCTCCTGTCGTGATAAAAACCAGTGAGTAAAAGTGCGTTTTTAAACAAGGCTTAAAAGAATCAACTGAAAGGGCAGTCTTAATGTGAGGGGGGACAGCGTTCCAAAGTTATATACACAAGTATACAATGCACTCTTTCGCTCCATAATTTTCCCATTAGACTTGAACAGCAGTAGATTAGGCATCAAATGGAATGTACTGAAATTCAATTAAGCTTAATGTGCCCTGTAAATACAAAGTGGAATCACCATTAAACAAAGCGAACAGTGTTTTCAGATAAGATGTAACTACATGCACACTATTCCAGTTGGCCACTACACAGAGGAGGGATTTAAATAACTTTTGTTTAAATAATTGACGTGATATTAAAAGTAAGGTATGGATTTTTTTAATTATAATTATTAACACAATCAAATTTACAGATAAATAGAGCAAACAATCGCCTGGGATGGAACAACATATAAAGAAAGATCAAAAAAAAAAATTTAAACTATACAAAAGAGCAAATATTGAAACAAAATGCAGGGAAAAGCAATCGTGTCAAGTTATAAATATTTTCTGTATGTTTTAATGTCAATTAAGTATGTGTCGTTCTATTCACCTTTCTATCAACTGAAAGAACTAAATGTGCACAAATTGTTTAAAGGTGCATTGTGTAACTTCTGGTAGACGGTTTGTCAAATGCTTGTCTCCATGGAGATGTTATCGCTTTGTCTGGAATGATTCACACTCAGATTGGTGTTAAACTTTTCCTTTCCAGCTTCACAGCAACCAAACGAGACCAAATTACGCTCAAAATCTGTGGAGAGGCGACTCCGCTCAGTCAGAATCCTTGTATTTCTAGGTGTTTTTGAGCAATAAACCCATCTGTAATTGAATAAACATTTCAGGCAGAGCAATGACATATCCATAGAAACAAGCAGACAGACACCCAACCAAAAAGTTACGCAACGCACCATTAAATTTTTAAATGAGTTCCATCCTATATTGACTCGAATCTTTGAGTACACAAATGAAAAAAAAACATGTATTTAGCGGCTCTGTGGCAAACACCAACTTGCTGCTGCTGTTTAGGAATGCAGCCACTAAACATATTGCAACACGCCATACATTTATCTATGTCACTCACGGATTAGAACGATTCCCAACAGTTAAACAGAACTTTTGGACCACACCCTTCTGAGTAGAAAAATATACAAAATTGTCAAAACAACATATAAAACCAAACAAACATTAAGTTACTACTACTACTT